GTTTATTCAATAAAATAAATTGCGCCAATTTCCTTGTCCGTGGTGTTTACCTTTTTCGTAACTAGTCCGATATGGCAAGGCAACTACGGCAAGTGAAGTTCTCTCCGGCAAATCTACTCATTTGATCAGTCTATTTACTATTACTATTCGATAATTCTTATCTTTGCAGGAATTTCTCTTGATGCAAAGATCCCAATTTGCCTTCATGACCAGATTCCTCTTTCGTTGCCTCCTCACCTGGTCAATAGCCATATCCTGAAATCCTGAAAATAGAAATGATCAATTCCCTGATCAGCAAATTCTCAATTTTTTACAACATGAAAGGTTATAAAGAAAACACTCTATCCTGAATACATAAGTAACTGTTGGTCTTTGACGCGTCACGTAAAATGGGACGCACGCGTGTCTACGCGCGCGAGAGTGGAGAAAATTCGCGAGCAACTTTCTCGAGATTTATCTAGAAAGGTTTATAATTTAAAGTTCTCGACTCTATAGCAAAAATTCCGACAACATAGTGCCTAAATGAGACAAGGAGAGTTAGCAAGGGTTATCTCCACAAATAACGCTCTATGCATTTAGAAATAGAAATATTGCACGCACCCGTGGTCCCGTCGAAATTTTTAATATCCTCTATAGCGTCTATTTGCACAATTATACCACTAAACTGTCGTTTAGTTCACGCCACTTTTGCTCCATTGAGACGAATCAAAATGCTGCTTTTTTGTCGAGTTTCAAGTTGAAGCGACGCTTATGGCGGACAGTTCAGCTGCTCCATATGTTCTTAAATTCCTTGAGCTACACTTGATATCTGTCCAGCTTAACGCACAAAATTAAAGTATCAATAAAGTAGTGTTTCCCAAAAACAGTGCTTATACCTTCGGTTGAAATAGAGTTGACTTTTCTCCTAGCCTTTTTCCATCTTCTTTCAGCAAGAATATACACTCGTCTTTGTAAGAACAACAGGCCTTCGCACATCCACGAACATTAATTTCTGGAAAATTCAACAGTTTGTCATGAATATGGATAAGAAATTGATCATTACCATTGATCAGCTTGCACGTATTTTCGTCTGGCCAACCAGGAGCCGCGACAGAGAGACATCGCACGTACTAATTACGGTACATCTTTGAAAAAGCAGCGTCCACGTTACGCCGGAGAAATTTGAAGACCCAGCTTCAACGGTTAGGCCTACCGTCCACACTAATCCGTCACAAAAACGGAGCTTTTCGAAAACGCTCTTGAAACCGGAGGAATTTGAAAACGCAGGCTTTGCGTTTTAGCGTGGACGGAAACATTTTAAAAACGGGGCTCTTCGGAAACGATGGCTTCACGATAATCAAGTGATCGCCCTGATCGAGTTTTCCTCAAACACAAATCCAAAATGATCAGTGATTGTTGAATTTTTAAACTCCACCGGCGTAGTAAACATTTGATGCGTTTTCAGAATGAAACCTCCGTTTTCAAATTTCCCCCGCGTGGTGTGCACGGGTCCTCAGTTGGCTGGCTATTTGAGTTCACCAGGCAATGAGAAAGATATATCACAAGAAACGCACTTTGGCAAAAAAAAAATAGCAAAAAACAAAAAACAAAAAAAACAAAAAAAAATGTTCGCAGGTGATCAGCTTTTGCTCTGCTCATTAGAGGGTAGTCTGTCCATAGTTGTTTCCTTTCCTTCGTTCTTAACAAGCACGCGACAACGAGTCCAGCTCCGCCCTCCCCTCCCCTCATCCCGCCCTCTCCTCACCCCGGCCTCTTCTCGTCCTTTGTTACACTTTTTGTAGGTGGCATGGAGTAATCGAAACGTTATTTAGCTTTATTATCCGTTATTTTTCTTCTAAAATTTACCAGAACCTCACCCGGCCCAAATACGAGGCAAAATTTTTGCCTCCTATAAATCCCAAAATTCCTCTCCGCTCCCCCCTTGCCATGAATTTTACTCAATCCCTACAGGGTTAGTCTGTCCATAGAGCCTCTATTTTGTCTGGAGTTCGTCGAGATTGCAAGCAAAATATTAACTGCAGGAGATTTGGAAAAGCCCGAACGCAAGGAGTGGCCCTGGGGAAGGACAAAATTAGAACTACACTTGTTTACCAACCCATTCGTAACAGCTGATAACCTAAACATTTCAAACAAGACTGTCGTGAAAACAGTTTTTTATCTATTTCATAA